GAAGAGCTCCGTGAAGTTGGGCACCGAGTCGCTGATGAAGGTCACGTTGCCGTAGACGTGCTGCGGGAAGGCCTTGGCCCCGGCCTGACTGCCCCCGGGGCCCGGGGCGCTGGCCGACGCGATCTGCGACGTGCGCACGTGGTAGGGGAAGTTCTTGTTGGCCGCCGACGGGCGAGTCATGATCTGCGGGGAGAGGGCAGGTGCGGGTGGCAGAAACACCACCCAGGCCCCAGGCTGCCCTCGTAAGCGGGGAGTCCTTAAGGGCTCCTCTCCCATCCCCGTGCCTACACTCGGACTGAATGAGGGGCGAAAACGAGGCTTGCTACTCCTGTAAACGTTGCCTCGGAAACCCACAGGGGCCGTTCTACCCTGTCCTATAAGGTCGCGATGAGCATCCACTCCATGGTAGTGAGGGAGCTTGGCCTCGGCGGTGGGAGCTCTAGTGGCGAACTGGTTACATGACAAAATAATTTACAAATTAACAAGGGTTCACCAGGGAGGGGAAGGGGGGAGTGAGGGAGGGGGGGAAATGAGGAGCTGATGCCAAAGGCTAAAGTGGAGAGCAAATGGTTTGAGAATGATGAGGGCAATGAATGTACAAATGTGCTTCACACGCTTGATGTATGGATGGATTGTGATAAGAGTTGTATGAACCCCCAATAAAATGATTTTTTTTTAAAAGTCTTGGAAACCCCAAAGGGCAGCTCTATAGAGTCCTTATGAGTCGTCATAGATTCCATGGCAGTAAGTTGGGTTTGGGTTTGGGCTCTGCATGTGCCATGGCTGTTATCGGGAGAGACTGACCCCTGGAAACAGGCATCATGCTTGGTAGAGGGTCAGCAAAAATGGGAAGAAAACAGCAAAATGGACTGACCCAGAGGCTGTAACAAGGAACTCCCAACATAACCGAGGCTGGCACAGGACCCGACAGTATTCCCGTCTCTTGGACACGGGGTCCCTAGGAATGGGGACCTGCCGACGACGGTGCCCTGGACTTCTGACCCAGCCCCGTCGCAGCTCCTAATGAGGCTGTGCTGCTTCCACCAGAAGCCTGGAGGTTCTGGTGCTTGCCGAGTGGTGACATCTCAGTGTCCCCAGCTATGGCTGTCCAGTATGCTGCCACTAACCACATGCAGCTATGTAAATCGAAATAAAATTTCAGTTCCCATTTCCCAGGCACACCAGCCCCATTTATTGCGCTCAGTAGCCCCATAGTTTGAGCAGCGACTGCACTTGGTCAGCACAGATTAAAGACTAGCTCCAGAAACAGACTGTTTGCTGGATGCCTGGCATGACGCTCAAGTGTCAACCCTGTGAGGGTAGAAATGTGACTGCCCTGTGCCTTTCTGAATCCCCAGGACCTTCTAGGACAGTGCCTGATGGCGTCAATTCCCCCTCACAGCAACCTTACAGGGCAGAGTGGAACGGCTCCCGAGGGCTGCCGAGACTTGATCTTCGCAAGCGCAGACAGCCTCATCTGTCTCCCACAGAGTGGCTGGTGAGTTTGAACGGCCAACTTGGTGGTGAGCTGCTCGGTGCTGAACCCACTGCACTGCACTAAGGATCGGTTCAATGGAGGGTGTGTCCTGGATCCGGCTGGGAGGCCAGGAGGGCAAGGTCTGAATGTGACTCCATCACTGCCCCCCAGAAGCCCGCTGAGGCTGTGCTGAACTGATGAACAAGGACACACGTCCCATCAGCTCTGGGGCACTGGAGGCGGGCTTGTGCCTGGCTCACAGGAGCATTGTTCAGAAGGCCACCGGCTGAAGGTGAAATATAGCAGAAAGGACACTTGGCATTCTGAGCCTGCACCCCACACCTCCCGGCTCCAAGGCTGGATCTAGGGCATGGTGATTAAACTCCCACAGCCTTGCTGGGGAAAAGGGACCGTAGGGCCTCCCTGCCGAGATAAAGAAGGGGCGGAAATGAACACCGCTGGTACAGCGCCCTGGCACAGACCGGGTGGGTTATCAGGGTTCCTCCTCTCTCTGTCCCTTTCTGCCTTCCTGTAGAACTGCGAGATGGGCCACCCCGGGTAAGACAGGGGAACCTGCACTGAATCAGAATCAAATGGTGGACAAGGGGCCCCCAGGTGGCCCCCTCCATCAGTGGCCGAGTACATGCCCAACACAGAGCACCTTGGAGACCCCTAGGGGTAGAAGCTGGGGCCCTCGGTGGGGCCTGTTTTCCTGTCTGCTGCTTCCTTGGGCAAGACCTTGTGGGGTGCTGTTGAGGGGTGGGGCTCAAATGCCAGACTGCCACTAAAGGCCATGGAGTCCCCAGGCAGGTCACCTCCCCTCTCTAGGCCTTAGCTTCCCTTCCATGTCCAGCTGGGTCCGATGACTGTTATCTGCCTTGTCCTAGAACTATTCTGAACATTGAACAAGGGGTCAGGAGCAAGTATGAGTCCTTTCCACAAGGGGTTGATGAATGAGAATGGATGGATGCAAGGACTGTCGTCCAGGAAAATCCAGTGACCTGGGGGCTGGAATCAAGACAGTTGGTGCTGGTACCCTCCAGACTCCCAGAGGTCTACACAACACCAGTCCCATCTAGGCCTTCTCGAACCCCAGCAGGGGGCTTGTTGGCCCCAGTATGTCCAGTGCCATCTGCTTCTTCCTGAACCATGGCCTGTGATGGGGACAGCAGAGATGGGGGTGGGGGGTCGGCACGAGGGGTTGGGAGGAGAGGAGAGGGGAGGAAAGACGAAGGGATTTGGAAGAAGCAGTGGGGATGGAAAGGGAACCGTGACGGTGTGCGGACACAGGATGAAGAATGGGGGTGAGAGGGACAAAGGGGGGGCCCATGGAGAAGCAGTCTGGCACAGGTTAGGGAGAGCCGAATAGGAGAGGGTGGGTTCTGAGGGACAGAGTGACATTCAGCAGGGACCCCGCAGGCTCTCAATAGTGTCCATTGAGGGGACTGGATCAAGACCTCAGACTGGCCTCATCTGCGCCCTGGCCCCCCAACCCACGGGTTGCCCACCCCAACCAGAGGGCCGTCCTCACCAGGAACACACCGTGGGCATACAAGTGGATTCCTAGCTGTATGCCATTGACGATCTTCTCCCGGGCCCACTTGGGGATCCCAAAGTTGGCGATCAGGGCCATGACCGGAACAGCAAAGAACCTGCGGGAGCAGTAGGTCCATAGAGACATTGGCCTTAACCTCCACCCACCTCCCGTCATGCAGGTGTGTGGTGGGCGGACGTGCACACACTCCAGGTGGGTCCAGGGGAGTCAGTATGACCTTCAGCAGCCAGAGGTCAGGGGGAGGCAGGAATCCCACTAGCCTAGGCAGTTCTGGGGGCAGGGTTGAACTTGGGTTACCCACCACCACCACCACCCCACATCCCTGCTTCTATTTTTCTACACAGAAACAAATGTTGTTCTCGCAGTACGGTCTCCAACCCCAGTAAATGGGCCGGGTCAGTGAGGCAGGGAAAGCAGTGGGCTCGCCTGAGGTCACACGGCTTAGGAACTTTAAGGCTGGGGTCTGCACAGAGGCCAAGCCGGGTCTCTAGGACTGCACTGCTGCCTTGGGACGTGCCCTCATGGTTATAACAGGCTTTTATTGAGCACTTGCTAGGTCCGGACACTGAGCGCTCCTCAGCGCTCCATGCACGCTCAAGGGAACCTTCGGCAGTCGAGACTCCACAAGGAGTAAAACGGAGGGAAAGAGAAGGCAAGCCATTTTGCCAAGGTCACAACGTGAGTAAGTGGCGGATTCTGGCCATGGCCACAGGCTGGCTGTCTTGCTGAGGAAGGTCTCAGCGGGCGACAGCCCCCTCTGGGCAGGGGGAAAGAGAGGTAGGAACAGGTTGGGGGCTCCCCCTATTGTCTCACCAGAGGGTGTAGGCAGCAAAGAAGGGCACGTAGAAGGGCTGTTTCTCGGGGAAGTGGCGTAGGGAGACCAGCACGGCGTAGCAGAACCACACGTAGGCCGCCACCTGAAGCCCGATGAGCCCATAGCCTGCTGGCGACTCGTAGGTGTACAATACCTGGCCTGGGTCGAAGAACTGATCCCGAGGGAGAGGGCTCGTCACAGCCCTGGCCCCCCACCTGGCTCCCTCCCCTGGGACACCCAGGAAGCAGTGGCCTGGGTCCAGCAAGGGATAGGGATGGAGATGGAAGGAGAGAGGTGTCAAAGGCAGGTGAGAAAGACAGGAAGTGAATGCATGCGCTTCACAGTTCCACCATGACAGCTAAGGTTGTGTGTTAGTGCTTTGCCAATGAAGACCCAGTAATCCCCCAGGATGTGATCTAACAATGTAACCGCTTCGCACATGGGATCTGCTGTGAGCAGCTAATCAGTTGTAAGTTTAGGGGGGATGCAACACCCTTGCTCTGATCACAGACCTGATCCTATGAATTGAAAGGAAATTTCCTTGGGGAGGTGTGTGTGTTGTGGAATAAGCTGTGAGATTTTTGCTAGGTGTAGATCATCGGCCTCTGGTTCTTTGGACCTAAGCCAACTGCCTGCCATATTGCCTGCCAATCCCGAGAGTCATCAGCAGGCTGTATCTGGGATTCACTGGACTCACTCACTCCATCAGCTACAAGCCTGACCTGCGGACCTTGGATTCATTCGCCTCTGCAGCCACCAGCCTGTTGTCTTCCTGCCCATCTGGAGTTCATCAGCCACCGCTGTTCCTGCTTGACATCTAACGTGGACTTGGAACCTGCCGGGACACGGACTTGCCCCCTGCTACACTGTGTGGGCCACTTTCTTGATAGAAACTTCTCCATGTATGTATTCACAAATACGCTTCCCTGGCTGTGCTTCTCTTGAGAACCCGATCTAACAGCCCACCCACTGACTCAGAGCAGCCCTACAGGACAGAGTTGAACCAGAGGCTTTTCCAGGGCTGTAATCTTTCAGGAAGCCGACTGCCACGTTGTTCTCCTGTGGCTAGTGGGTTGAAACCACGGACCTGTCAGGTACTTAACTAACTGTGTCACCAAGGCTCCTTAGCCTGTGTGCCCATCACGGAATAAACACCTATTGAAGGTAAGCTGCCTACACTAACGTCAACTCTCCGAGCATGTTACAGAAGAGGAAACGGAGGCTCAGAGGTAGCCTCCTTAGCCAAAGGCTTACAGGGGATTGAAGGCCTGATCCCCCTGATGGTGGGTAAGATCTTCCTTCTGCAGAAGGGGGCACAGGCTGTGGGTAAGGGCAGGTAGTGGGAGAGCCAGAACCGAGTCCGGGTCTGTGTGACTCCTGAGCTCTGAGCGCTGTGGTGCGCAGGACTGTGACAGACAGCGAGAGACAGAGGGAGGAGGGGAAGAGAGCTCCTCCGAGGGGGTGACGAGAGACACACACTTAGACAGATGGGAAGGCGACAAACTGCCAAGTCAGAGCAGTGCCTTGTGGGAAAGGGCTAGCCTGGCCCGTGGGGAGAGGGGAAGGTGGGGGCCCAAAAAACCGTCAAGGGCTACAGCAGGGTGGGGCCTGGGTGGGGGGGGGACTCACTTCAGCCTCGTAGATGAGCAGCACCACATGCGTGAGGGTGTACAGGGTCATGTAGACAGACAGCTTCACCGAGCCTGAGTGGCTGATTCGGCCCCTGGCAGCAGGCCATGAGGGAAGACAGCGGGGTGGGGGCTGTCAGGGAGTAGGGGCCCCACCACTCCCAGGCCCACCCCACCCCAGCCCGGCCACCCCGGGTACACCCCTGCCCCTCCAGCCCGGGCACCGTGTCACCGTGAATCCCTTCCCCAGGAGGATGAGCATCAGCAGGAAGATGAGGAAGCTGGAGGAGAAGAGCAGCTTGGCTGCGAGAAGGGAGGAGACCGTGGCTCAGAGTGGGACCCCAGCGGAAGCTCCAGCCTCCCCAGGTCCTGCTGCCTCCTCACCCAAGATCTTCAGACTCTCGTTGCCAATGCCATCGGTGGCATACTGGCCCCAGTAGATGCAGAAAGACAGGAGGCTCAGGACTACAGGGCAAAGGAAAGAGCAGGAGCAAGCATTGGGGACAGCACCGCTGTTCCCGAGCCCTGTGTGGCCAGGTCCCTTCCTCCATCCCCATCAGCCCTCCAGACCAAGAGACTGTGGACCCCAGCCCCTCTCTCTTCTCTCAGACCCAGGAGTCCAGGGCCCCAGCCCCTCCTCCCAGGAGAGCATTCAGGGCCCCTGTCTCTCCTCCTTCAGGACCCAAGTCCTTTCCTCCCAGAGGATCACAAGACAGGCCGCTCTAAAGCTCACCCTCTTGAAGGGAGACGTTGGACAGTGTATGATATGGCAAAATGATAATTTATACATTATCAAGGGTTCATGAGGAGGGGGGAAAATGAGGAGCTCATGCCGGGGGCTTACGTGGAGAGCAAATGTTTTGAGAATGATGAGGGTAACGAATGTACAAATGTCCTTTATACAATTGATGTATGTATGGATTGTGATGAGTTGTATGAGCCCCCAATAAAATTATTTTTAAAAAGCTCACCCTCTACTCCCGCGGCTGCCATGAACATTTTATAAGTTGTGTGGAGTAGCTGGCGACCTTTCAGCAAATCTGAGGAGAAGGGGGAGGAAAGGGGGTCCCTGGATCGGGAGGGAGAGCAGCCTGTCCCCACCCCTCCCCTGTCTCTTAAGCCCCTCCCCCTGCCAGCTGCTGGACTCACAGCCAAAGTAACAGGACAGGAAGAAGATGAGGATGAAGATGAGGAGGAAAGTCACATCCGTCTCCAGAATCCCTGCCAAGGCGGTGGCAGAAGATGGTTGTTCAGGTGGCTGTCCTCAGGCACAGAGCGCTGGGCCCCCCATGGAGACGGGAGCGCCGGGGCCCCATGTGCTCACCAAACTCATCAGCCGAGAAGTGCCGAGTCCAGAAGGACTTGCCATTGGTGAGGACCATCTCGTATTCGAGTTGCAACCCTTCTCCCTGGGGGGGTGAGGCGGGAGGTGAAGGCATCAGGGGACCTTGGGCAGGTGGGGGGGTCAGGAGGAGAAGACCCAGGTGGCCACCCTGGCCTCTTACCCCACACTTGCTGAGAGCAATGTACCACCACCTCTCACGGACCGAGCGGAAGCTGCGGCCGCTGGAGCAGCTCAGGTAGTGGGTTCCCTCCTCAGACACCACCTGGGGAGAAGCGAGAGCCTATCCTCGCCCCACCCCCACCCCGACCTTCAACCTTCAGCGCCTGCCCCCTCCCCAGCCTGGGCGCGCACCTGACAGCCCGACCAGGCATACTGGGTGGTGAGGTTGATGACTTGGTTGTTCTCTGGCCTGATGACCGACTCCTTGGCCAGGCAGTCCTGAGCACGCAGGGACAGGGACAGGGTTATCTGCTGGCCAGCCATGCCTTCCGGCCCCCACTCCCATCCGCAGAGGCCTCACCTTGTCCCCTGCCTTGTACACTGCTGGCCACTGGGAAGGGTCATCGAAATAAAGAAGTATGTTCTGACAGCACTTTGCCTGTGGACCAAGAGGTTTCAGGGGTGGGGGAGCCAGAGGGGGGTGGCCGTCGCCTTGAGAGACCAAGGGCACAGCTAGACCCACCTCTGGGTAGCGGAAACGAAAGTCCAGTCGGCCATAATCCGAGAGGAAGCAAAATCTTGTCAGGAACACCCAGTCCTGGAAAAAAAAAAGGGGGGGGCCCGTCAGCTCCTCCCACGGGCCCGAGGCCCCTGACTTCCTTCCAAGTACCCCAAGGAGACCAGTCACCTCCACATTTCTTCCCTGACCCCTTCACCTTGGGTCCAGGGTGCCCACTGCCAGACATCCTCCCTCAGCACCCCCACCACCAAATTTTCTCCCCTTTCCTACACTGAACTCCCCCTCCCAATTCCCAGATACCTTCCGAAGAGCCCCGGAGGGCCCCAGTCCCAGTCTGGTGACCTGGTGACCATCCAGTCACCAGCCCCCAACTATCACACACCA